ATGTTTCATAATATTGATTGCGTTCTTGCTGGTGCTGCCTGACAAAAAATTTGCTGGACAATGTATTTTTACCCTTTATTCTAATTCTTACCTTCACCGTAATTGAAAAGTTTCATATCTTGCGATTTTGATTGGTTTACCATTAAAAATCACATGTTTGCCATTTCTTTGTTATTAGACACCACCCAAGATACATGTATTACATAATATTTGTTACATCCCTTTAATTAAGTATAATATAAAATTATAAATATTCAAATGCTTTATTTAATATAGACCTTAATTAACTATTTTTAAAGCACATGTATTTTAATATGTAAATGTATATTGATTTTTTACATAATAATAACATGAATGTGACTGAAAAATATATCTTGACTAATCTTTATTGATATTGCCTAGATTCAGCATAAATGAAATCTACCCGTTTATTTGGTTTTTCGACGTATTTTCAATAGGACGCTTGTAGTTCGGTTTATATTCTTTGAAATATAATTTTTTATATTAACAATAATAACGATATTTCAAACTGTTGTTAATGAAAAATACAGAACATACATTGTATTGGTGATTTTGTGAATTTTCAGTTTCTTTCCATCATTGTCAAATCAATATCAAACTATTTGAAGACATTGTAAAATAAAAAAATAACAAAGCTAAAAATTATGTTTCTTTATTATAACAAATCATATATGATAATAACGTATTTGGAACATATAAACTAACAATTGATAAGATTGCTTTTTTGTTCCATCTCATCAAGTTCTTTTAATTTTCTTCATGTGCTTTAGGATATTCTAAAGTGGAAGATGTTAAAAATGCGGTTTCAAATACTCACACAGTCCACACGGAAAGTAATGACGGTTAATTTTTTAAAAATTCCGGTGCAAATTTTAAAGACAACCACACGAAAAATTATCTCTAATTAGGGCATCATATTATATAAAAATCAACACGTTTTCCTTCTATATCAATGCAGGTTTGAATGCAATTTGACTTGTTAAAAAAATCATAACTATAACTAATAATGGTATTTTCATAGTTATTAATTTATAAACTAATAAATATTGTTCCTAATACAATTTTTTAAGCTGAACATTTTTTACTAATGGATAAAGACTTATTAACTATCAAAATTTTTACTTTTCATGTTCCAATAATAAATTTACACAATTCGGGAACATTATTTGGTATTGTAGGTCGTACTTCTTTATAGACATCATATACAAGATAATGATCATGACGCTGTTTACCAAAGGGTTTTTCACCTGTTAGGCGTATTACGCACTATCAATATACTTATTATTTTGAGGAGGATGAATATGAACAAGAATAAAATAATATATATATTCAATGGAAATTAGAGGTAAAATAAAACAAAAATTTAATAAGAAAGACAAAAATGGGGCTGATTATCTTGTTCTTCAAGAATGAAAGTCACGTTGTACAAACTTTTCTTCATGGATTACCAGATTAACAACAATAGTAATCCGTAAATAATATAATTTTTGATTTCAAGTCAATTTTTCATATAGATACTGGTCAGCGATGCAATCTTCTTGCCAAGGAATTTTGATTTGAAAGGAAAATCTGTATAATGTGATTAGCAATTTTAGAGATATATGCATATCAGGTAACAGCCTTTTTCTACTTTGAATGTATGGATTATAGATTGAATTTTTGACTGATAATTTACTTTATTATAACTATATGTCCTAATATGAACAATAATTGCAAAATGACATATCAGTGAAAAATCAACAGGAATTTCTTTTGCATGTAAGAAGCTGAAGACAAAACCTGCAGCAAATGTAACTGGTCATCCGCACATACTAGAGTCTTTTGTTGAAAATTCCATTTTATTCCATTATACAGCAAAAATTCATTTATAATAATGAAGTATTTCACTTTCCTGGTACGTTGTGTATATCTCCATTGCTGACATTTTACTGAAGAATCAGCTCAAAAGTCAAAAGACTAGCTTAATTACCTACGCAGTGACAAAATAGCGTGATCTTTATTAAAACAATTATAACACGATGATATCTCATTCGCGCAGAATTAAAATTACTAGTCAATCCCATCTTTTTTAATAGCACATTCTCTGATTAATAATTCATTGGGTTTATATGTAGTGCTGGAATAAAAAATTTTAGCATCACTTACCTTCTTAGGTTGATACATCGGGCACGCGCGATTGGGAATATAAAAATTTTTAATGTCCTCCGTTCTCTTTATTAAAATAGGAAGGATCCACTCGGAAGACTGAGAAACTTAATTAACAAAAGTTGTATGGCTATCACTCACTTTCTTTATAGATTAAATCTGGTCGTCTTCGTGATACAAATGTGTATACACAACATGATTTTGTTTCAACTGTTCAAAAAGGTTGTTAAGAACAATCATTTTTATTGCTTGTAATAATATTTTTAAAAAATGATATTCTTGACAATATGACAGTGAAGAAAATGATCCTGGCAATAGTGAAGAGAAGGCAGTTGGTTCGGATCATACCTTCTAAAAGTGACGGATCATTATCACTGGAAAACTTCCTACAAAGTGGTTACAGACAATCTTACATACAAAAGATCATCGGATGAAAATATTCGAGAACAAATAGGAAATGGTAAGTGCCTAATTTTGAGTTGGATATATGTTATGAATGAATTATTGATCTTATGACAAAGAAACAGGTGGAATGTTCAATGGAAAGTGTGTAAAGTAAAGAAACTTATGGGGAAATACTATGACATAAAAAGAACAGAAATTTTGATGAATCGTTGAGTTTTGACTATGAAGCACTCGTTACAGTATTTAGCGAAAAAGCTTACGTGAATTTTAGCTAGAAGAATGATATAGAGTTAGCCTGGTACCAAAGAACTTTTACGAACTTGTAGATTCTATTGAATTTTTTCTGCATTGTTAACATTGTTATGCGAACATCATTATATTTATAACTTAATACATGTGCATGCATTCTATCAGTGGTAGCAGTGTTTTGTTCAACCTCGATGTTTTTATAATAAATTTATTTATACATGTATATCTCGGATGCATTTTCTCACAGTATGTACATGTATATCTTAGATGCATTTTCTATGTATATATCTTAGATGCATTTTCTCACAGTATGTACATGTATGTACTTAATACATACATGATCAAGTTTATATTCCATGACGTTCTGATATACATGTAGAATTTAATAGGGTCCTAACAAATTTTAATATTTTGCAAAAGTATATCTGGATTTATCATACATGTATCAAATACATGTGTTTAAACTATCCATCCTATCACCTTTCCGAGAGAAAATATAGTTTATATTTATAGATCGAATTATAAAATTAGAATATTATTTTTTGAACATAATATACTTATTTCATACATCTCAAGATGGTATGTAAAAATATAAAAAATTTTGTTTCTTATTCCTGTCAATTATCTTGCTTAATTTTCTCTTTCCGATTAAGGGAAGGTAGATATGTGCCTATGCGCATTATGCGTATAGTTACTAACTGATATGGTAAATTCAAATGTCATGCGCTTAATACATGTAGTTGAGTGCATTCTCTAGTGGTGATGAATCATGATGATTTATAATTGTTGGCTCCCATTCTCGCATTGAGAATATCATGGATAAAAAAATCAATAATTTAATAGAACCATTAGAATTAATGATGGAACTGTATCATTAGCAAATACAATGCAGGTGTATCCAATTCATCTGATTTTGAGAGCGTCCATATTCGTCTAGCTCTGATTCAAATGAGCTTGATCCAACAATGAATTCCAGCTGGAAGATTGCATAGACTCATTAGAAAACTCGCAAAACTTCGAAAGTATGGCAAGAAGGTCTAAATAATGGCAAGAAAAAGGTCTTAATTTCCCGTTGTACTCGAAAACATAGAAAAGACTACATTAAGACAGATTGATAGTTTGAGTATATCTGCGTATAATTATTTTTGGCTCGTATAAAAGGTATGTACATGTACAGTACATACATGTGCATGTATTAAGTATGGCTAAGTCATGAATGTTTACCGACAATCAACACCAGTTTTAGAAATCTGCTTAATCCAAATAAATGACCAAGAGAATGAACACCTTTTATTATCGACAAAAAATAAAAGTAAGTTCTTTGTGAATTTTGATTGCGGAGTAAAACAATCCAATTAAAATTGTCCACAATATCGTGTTCTTGAATTGAAAATTCTGCAAATCAAAAAATCGTCTAGATCATTGATGATGGTCAATATTGAAATATTTTTGTAAAATGTAAAAATTTCGTATGGATCATGTTTATAATGCGAATTGTTATAAATCATACGGATTCGGCAAATTCTGCAAATTGTATCAAATTTTGCATTTGCATAAAACCGGATACGTTATCGTACTTCGTATTCATGCAGTTTATTTTTAGCGTGTGAATATTCGCATTTTTTATAGAAACTTTAAAGACAAATTCAACAATCGTTTTCACCAATCCAAGACTTTAATGATTGATTAAATCTACTATTTTCATCGTTATTAAAGTGATGTCAACAATTATTGTGGCGGCTGAAGCTGAATCATTTTTTCTAAATTTGTTTGGACCATTTCTGAATCATTATGTCATTGATAAGATAAATGATTGGTAGTTTAACTTTCACGTGATATATATTCTGAAATGGTCCATGTATATGTTTTTTATATGCATTTTTTATGCCGCCGCTATGTGTAATTATAAAGTCAACGTATTGTCCCGAATCAGATACCAGTATTTCATCATGTAGTTAATACAACAATCATTTTGCTAAATTTAGACTTTATCGTTATCTGCTGATTACAGTTAACTTTATAGATCATCCTAACAAGTGACGTACATGTAATATGTGAACCTTGCACAAATTCCTTTGCTCCTTTCTCTATAAAAACGCGAGCAATTCAAACCCATCCCAAACATTGGAAACAATAAATTTCAATATACACATTTATTCCCTACTAAAAATTTAATCAAAATGAAAATGAATAGACAAACTTCACTCATGTTTCTTTTCACTCTGGTCTTCATCTTTGCCTTCTCCTCATCGGTTAATGCCATGCCAAAGAGAATCAAAAAAAGAGCGTCATGTCCTCAAGTCACCAAATCTTGCATATTGCATAGCGCAAAAATTCCTGACGGCAGAATTGACTTCCAACAACAGACCGATTGCACAGTGTTTATCCAAGGAAATCTCGCATTTTTCCCAAATCAATTAAATGAATCCAATGACATTCGTAACTACGATATCCATGTTGTTATAGACGGAAGAGATGTAGACAACTCCCAAGTCGATCTGGAAGATATTGTCGTTCCAGTTGCTGATCATCGTGTTGATGTACCTTTTATCAAAGAATTTGCTGCTCAAAGTGTTTTTCCCTCAGATTTCTTTACTAGCACAAATAAATACTTTTGTAAAGTTGCATATGACCCAACTGGAGATACGCTTCTTGCAACTGCCCCGGTTATTCCTGCACCCTAGTTTGCTGCTTCTTTTTTCCCCATGAGTCTAAATCTTACCGTCAAATGTCTATTTTGCTATCTTCATGTAATAGATAGATGTATTTTTATTATTTATACTTTTGATCATTTTGTTGAAATTTATTCAACCTAAATTTTCTTCTCCTTTTATAGATATAACCAGTATTTAAATATATGTATGTGATATACTAAGCTTACTTTACCGTTATCACTCGAAATAAAGAAAATTGTTGGTGTTAACAGTTTTAGTTTAGTTATAAAGTTTATAATCAATAAATAAATCTTGGTTTCAAATGGCGACAGATGAAGTGAGCATTCCCTGATTGTCTTCAAGAATATTAAATGTAAGGGTTGCAATACTTGAATTCACCACAATAAAGTGATGTTTTGACGTTAAATCTTTGATTTATATGTTTCTTCATAATATGTAAGTCGAAATTGCGTATCTCAGACAATTTCCATATTATCACACAATAATGATCAAGTCAATTGCGAAAATCTAAGCACAGGTTGGAAAGATATAGGCGTTCAAAATTGCTTCACGGATCTACCGTTACGGCATTTTATAAGTTTAATTCTGCGTTAGCGTTCTTATTAAAGCTTTACATTAAGTATTGATAGTTTGTTGTTATTGCACACAGTATTGTGTATTTGAATTTTTAGAATGACATTTTGTTTTAATATGTAGGAACAAATATAACTTTAATTAATAAAAGTTTTGCTTTACGAAGCAACATCGTAGTGAAGTTCGCGAATCACTCATAGCCTACCATCATGAAAACTAATTTTATTAATCACTATTTTAGCTATTGGGGACGTATAATTTGTACATGTAATTACTACTGCTGCGGTTTTTTTACTAATTTAGAAGCACGCTGTTTTTACCTTAAAAAGGAGTGCATATCATGTATTGTATACCTGTGTTATATGGATACATGTAAATAACAAAAAGGTGCTACACTGCCGTAGTACATGTAATTTCTGCAAATCTGCAAATCTACATCTGGTGCTAGATCCTAGTGCTAGATCATTATCGTTATGATCAAAATTTAAAAAAATTAATTTTTCAATGCATGTAGATATTTTGATTATACATGTACACTCTCCGGTCAAAAGTCTCCGATCACCTGATTTAAGATTACAGATCATTACCTTTTAAAATAAGATTACGCCAAAACTATTAAGCAAAAATAAAATAAATTTTTTTTCCATGCAGCTCTTGACTTCAGCTACCTGAAAATAAAAAATTTTTTTTCTTTTACAATCTCCAAAAGGTGTGAACTTACTGAGTTTGAATGAGGAGAGATTATAGATCTCTGGAAAGGAGGCCATAGTGAATGAAATATTGGAGAAATTCTTGAACATTTTAAAATCATTATTCATGACACTATACAAAATATAAAAATCCAGGAAATGTTACAAATGCTCCACATTCAGGAAGGCCATCAAAACACATAGAAAGAGAAATTAGAAGGCTTGTAAAATTAGTTAAGGAAGATTGGCAACAATCACTAGAGAAAATGACAAAAAAATTTCATGAATCTTTATTAATTTCAGTATCTTTTAGTACTATAAAGCATACTTTACATATTGAGGGATTTTATGGATGAGCTGGAAAGAGAAAATCATTTATTTCTGAATAAAATCAAAAAAAATGATGTCATGAAAGAAGAAATTGGAATGATGAGTGGAATTCTATTATTTGGAATGATAAATCTCACTTTATGTTATTTCAAAATGATGTATATCATTGAATTTGGCATATATCACATGAAAAATATAATTTGAGTTGCTTAATTCCAACTGTAAAATCTGGAAATCAAGAAGTTATGGTATAAGAATGTTTTGCTAAAGATAAAATTAGTCCTTTAATTCAAGTTTCAGGTAGAATAACAGGTTCTATATATAAGACATATTAGAAAATTCTTTTTTACCCTTTTATAATAGTTTAGAAAACAATTTATAATATTTTTCAAGATGATAATGTTCCAATACATAGGACAAGAATAGTCAATCAATGGAAAGAGAATAATTTGGTATTAAGTCTTCTATGACCTGCACAGAGCCCAGATCTTAATCCAATTGAACATTTTGTGGGATGTTTTGGAAAGAAGGATTAGGGAATATAAACCTCATCCAAAAATATTGTGTAATTATTTAAAAAATTTAGTTGAAAGTTTGCCAAGCAGTATTAGATAGCCATGGAAATCCAACTAGATATTAATAAAATTCATGTTTCCTGAATAAAATGATATAAATTTTTTATAATGTTTGTTTATAAATTGTCAAAGAAATTAATTGTTGAAGTTTGTGCATTTTTATCCAGTTTTAAAGTGGTCAGACACTTTTGACCGGGGAGTGTACATGACTTCTATCATTAAATATTTTGTTAACATGTAAAAAATTTTGTATAGATCATTTTTATAATGTAAATTGTAAAATTGCATCACAAAATAACGTTATAAACCATACGGTTTCTGCAATTTCTGCAAATTGCAACGGATTTTGCAGTAGATTTCTGCAAATTCTGCACTTACAGAAAATCGTTCGCATTACCATATTTCGTAAATTTATATTCAGCATGTGAGTCACTCATTACTGATTTTTAAATTCTTATACAATGATTTTATATAGAAACTTTATAGACAAATTCAACAATCGTTTCCCAATTTAAGACTTAATGAATGGTTTTTTACTTATTTTTGTTTGTTAAGTGATGTCAGCGGCTGAAGCTGAATCATTTTTTCTAAATTTGCTTGGACCCATTTTGGAATCATATCATTGATCTTCTGGTTAAGACTAATTCTTATAAATGATTGGTAGTTTAAATTTTCACCTAGTCTATATTTCAAATCCCAAACATATACATGCATATGTGAATGCGACTTTTATGCCATTATGTGTAATTACAGTTAATGTATGTCCCGCAATCATTTTGCTAAATTTAGAAGATTACATTTAATGTATTGATCATCCCAACATATGAGAATCTTTGTACGATTGTCATTTCTCTATAAAAATGGGAACAATTCAAATAGTGGAAACAACAAATTGCAATCACCACACATTTATTCAATACTAAAAAGTTATCAAAAACGAAATGAACAAACAAATTTCACTTAAGTTTTTTTTTACATTGATCTTCATCTTTGTTTTCGCCTCATCGGTTAATGCCATAACCAGGGGAATCAAAAAAAGACAAACATGCGATAAAACCGCTTATTGCACATTTCAAGATGGTTCAAGCCAAGAAGCTGGTGGCGAACTTCATTTCTCAGAACAACAATCCATGTCCGGTCCCGTTTGTGATGTGGTTACCTTCGGACAAATGAATTTCTTTCCAGGTTCAAGGTCCTCTGAACTTAGAAACTACGATCTCCATATCACCTTAACATCTTGTATTCCAGATGCATCCTTTCTCGATCTTGAAGATTGGGTCACCCCAATAGATGGACAAGATACTGCAAATGTGTCTTTTTTTAACACACTTTCTGAAGGTATTTTTCCCCAGGATTTTTTTACTGCCTCAAATAAATATTGTTGTGTATTTGCATACGACGCCCCATCTGGGGACCAGGTCCTTGGAACTGCCCCAGTCATGGTGGTTTGATAGAGTTTATTAAAAAAAACTGTTATCCCTCTCTCTCTCGGGAACAAACTTCATATCGATGTCTAGATTTTACCTTCAAACGTTATCTATATCTTGTTATGTTCATGTATTATAAGAATTTATTTTCAAATACTGATATTCATTATTTATTACCATCTTGTTGAAAATTTATTCAACCCAACTTTTGTTTTTTCTTTTCTCCTTCATAAAAATAACTTGTAATTTCAGCTAAATAAATATATCGATATGTATGTAATATAAAAGACGTACTTTCGCCAATAAAAAAAGTTGCTAGTATTAACAGCTTAAATTATAATCAATAATATGTTGATTGGGAATGTGCAACAACAGATGAAGTGAGTATTCCTTGGATGTCTCCAAGAATATTGAATGCAAGGGTTCGATATCAGAATTGACCATAATAAAGTTGAATCTTTAAACGTTAAATAAATTAAATCTTGCCATAAAAATGGCATCAAAACGTTCATCTCGATTAGAGAATCCAAGATTGCGAGATATAGGCAATCAAAGCTTGCCTCATGTATCTACCATTGCTATCGATATTATTATCGTATCGTTACGATATTTTTATATCGTTATCGCTATTATTGAAAAGGTGAATTCCGTGTGTTAACGTTATTATTAACACTAACGTTAAGTATTGTTATACGTACAGAGTGTTTGAATTTTTTACGACTTTTTTAGGCAATCAGATCGATGTGTGTGGAAATTCGCACAACATAATGTTACACTCATAAGTTGAATAGTGCATGTACAAAGGCGATACGTAACATATTACTTAATTATGGATACAAGCTTTTCCAGAATTTCGTAATATGCGAGTCACATATACGACGAAAATTCGCTATATTATTCGGGGACAATAGTGACTATTGCTCGATTATGTTATTAATTAGAAACACGCCGCTTTTATGACTTTATACAATCGAAATATAGCTCGAGTTATTTGCCCTCGATATAAGAATATGCTAAAAATTAGGATATCAAGCTCTCAGACAACTTTTCTTATCATAGAAATGGGTTGAAACTGAGATTGAGTTATTACATTATAATGACGCAAATTTCTTTATCAATTAATATGCATTTCGTTTGTTGACAGTGGCTAAGGTATTACATGTACATGTACAATGGCATGCATGCGTATGTATATGCGCATGTACATATGAACTGCATTAAACGTTAAATAGGCCAGCATTCTTAAACCAAACTTTAATACACCAAAAAATGAATTTCCAATTTCTTCATCTACAGTCATTGGGTTATCCATTCCCAATGCTAGCGCTAATTCAATACATGGGTTTTAGAGTCTATACTGTTGACATAACTGACATATCGGATTTATTTGGAACTTTAATCAGTTTGTAATGGGAGTACAAACGAATATATTTTAAATAGATAAAGAGCTGTAAACTCCTCATATATTGTTACACTTTTCTTAAAAGAATCGTTTTCACTCAATAATTAAGCGTAATCATAGAATTAGACCGAATGATTTATCTTAGAAAAATCCGCAAAGAAATTTCGCGACTAACGGTGTCAAAGGTGAAAGAATGGAAAACTTTTATATATACATGTAGATTATAATCGGTCACTTGTAATGAAATAAATGCCGTAAATTTTGCTACACCAATCGCTGTTTGGATAAAGTTAATGCATTACTAGTTTTTATCCGGCAAAATATATCTGACACAAAAAATGAAAAGTGAAAAACAGATGCTTCCTAACTTGAAGTACTGTATTAATTAAAAAATGTCGGGAAGATAATTTTTATATTACTCCCAGCCTCAACCCTAATCTTCCTTAAAATCGATTACTGTAGAATTTTCCGATTTCCGATATCAACGAAACTTGTGTGAAAATTAGTGGGCAAAAATGAACTAATCAGGCGCGTAAAAATATTCTTTCAAATATGGCTTTTTGTTCTAGCACTCAGTTGTCGAACCATTTTAATTTAAAGAAAAAGAGTTACAATACAAACCCAGCTTAAAGAACATCCAAATACAGTCAAACCTCTTTATAGTCACCGCACTTGGGAAAGCAAAATTAGGTGACTAAAGAGAGGTGTGACTATAAAGAGGTTTTTTTAATTAGTAACTGGGAAACTTAAAACAGGTGACTATAAAAAGGTGACTATAAAAAAAGGTGACTATAAAGAGGTGTGACTATAGAGAGGTCTGACTGTACTTCCATGATAATCAATAGTTGATAGTCAAATGAGCGACAACCTGAAAGAATGAAATCCTGAAAGAATGGAATCCCAAAAGGTCGAAATCCTGCGTGTATCTCAAAATGCATGTTATACTAAAATTATCACAGGATTTAGTTCATTTGAGATGTCATTCATTCAGGATTTCGTTCATTCAGGATTTGTTATTCAGGATTTTGATTTTTTGGGATGTCATTATTCAGGATTTTGATCTTTCTGACTTATGAACATTCGGGATTTCGCGATTCAGGATTTTGACCTTACCACTGCAATACAGATGGTTTCAGCTAACCAAAAACTAAATTTGCAAAATCAAAGGTTGAACTTAGTTTCTATCAACAAAATCAAAGGCAAATTATGGATTATATTGAGTGAAAGTCATTCACTAATTATATGCAAGTTTTGAAGATAATCAAATAGAAGAAAAATTAGTTTATTTACGAGTAAAGAGACTTTACTGTTAAGAAAGTTAATTTTTTATTTGATTAGAGCATAATGTTTAAAAGACTTAACATCTCACCTTCATATATAAATTGACTATTACTAATTCTATATTTGCACTATTCTATTTTATATTATAGTTTCTAGACAATAAGATCAAGCACAATACAATATAAACATAAGAATATTATTGAGATGAGTATGAACTGCAAGAAACATCGATATAAAAAGCTAAACACGATTGAAATGTATTTCTCTCTGAGACTGATAGTTGTAGCAAATAAAATTGTAAGGGACATAGATAGCTTTATGAATTGGTGTTGGATGTTAGTCCAAAAAGAGATAATATTTATTTGTATCAGGTAATTACTAAAAAAGAAATGGACTCATCATTCCTAATATTGCTACAGTAACGATGTTGAGGTCAGATGCTTAATTGTTCGTCGTGAATTATTTAATTATTTGCAAAAGTTTCGATGTCAATAATTACAAAGTTCTAGAATGTTAATTAATTATTAACTACATGTATTATTTTAACAATGATTGTGTTCCAAAAATGGCAGCAATATTCTCAACGAATTTTAAGGGAAATTAAGGAATTACACGATTTGATGTTACTACGGTAACAATACCTCATTATCCATCTCGCAACATTTTTTCAAGCCTGTTGTATTTTTGATTCTGCTTGCTTTCTCATCAACAATATTTTAAGAAAAATATTTGTTGTTATAGTGCTATCAAAAGATTTGAAAATCAATCAGATGCTTCGTTCCGTGACTGCTCAATTTATTGTAATTTACAAGGTTTCAAAAGACGGGATAACTATTTTTGATTGGATTTAAAGTTCACAACTTCGGCTATCTATCTCAAGCTGTAGTGTTGAACGCGGCTTTCATTATATAATATGATCTTAAAATTTGGCGATGATGTTGTTTAATGGAATTTTGAATCGTTTCTACCCTATTTAATATCCTTTTTAATAAAAAATTTATCACATAATTGGTTATTTGCGAAACGTGATACATGTGCATGTAATTTGTTCTACTGTAAAAATTAGATTCATTATCCAGGGCCCCTACATGCAGTGTTGTAGCTTGGACAGCTTGGACAAAGGATTTGGACTGTTTGGACAAAAAAATAGCAATAATTCAAAATTTTATTATGGTAATTTGCTTTGATACTTTAAGTAAATGTGATTAAAATCTAAGTTTACATATACACACCCCTACAATATATTACCGGAAATTTCAAAAATGAAACTATCATTTTGGAACCCAATTTCTTGTAATCTAGTGATCTCATTTAAATAAAGATATTATCATAAGATTCGTGGAGTCGCGACAAATTTAATGGAGTATTTTCATTTAAATTGGATCATTGAATTTTGAGATATTGGATTTCAAAGTGGCAGATTCGTTTTTAGGATTTCCGGTAATATATTGTAGGGGTGTGCACATGTATCGATATTAATGTATTTTTAATATGAATTTTTAAATGAGTTTGTGGCATGTTGGACTTGGACAAAAAAAGTTAGAGATCTGCAAAATGTACTACAATACATGCATGTAATTAATGTTGGATGCGAATTATGCATTGCATTGCATCGCATCGCATAGCTTAATTCTATATACTTGTATTTCATGTAATTGACTAATGAATTAACGTTAAGTTGTTGCGTCGTTGTATTGGATTTTTACACACCATTTTCATAATGAAGTTTAGACTTTCAAGCTTTTTGTTGCCTTGGTGTTTTGCAGCAACAGTTCTTTCAGACGACAATAGTAAAAAACTTGACAAGAAAATAAGAAATGTAGTTTTGATAGTTCTTGAAAACCGTTCATTCTCAAAAATGGCCGGATATTTTAACTATTCTAAGGAAATTCGCGGTTTAACCGGTAAAGAATACAACTTGTTAGACGTCAATGACTCGAATAGTTTAAAACTTTATACTACGGATGATGCGGTCTACGTCGATCCAGATGACCCAAGTCACTCTATACCCGGTACATACGAGCAAATCACTGGCATGCAAGGGGATCCCAGTACTCCAATTACCGGTGTTCCACCAATGTCCGGTTTCCTACAAAATTTTGCACGAGTCTATAATATTAACAAGACTGACGTCGCAAGATTGAAACATGTTATGAATGCGTTCAAGCCGACCGATATACCGGTCACATACGAGCTTGCAAAGAATTTCGCGTTGTTTGATGGATGGTATGCAAGTGTTCCTGGCCCAACTAATCCTAACCGATTGTATATTCACACGGCAACTTCAAATGGTGCATATGAAACTACTAATCACGACGAACTTATCGGATTCGATCAAAGATCTATTTATGATAATCTTGACGAGGTAATAAATTTTTCTTTTATTTTTTTCTCTTAATACTTAAATAAAAGGCGTATAAAATTATAATTATAGAAAAACATTACTTGGAAAAACTATTATTCCACATTCCCGGAATTGATTGCAGCCAAAAGACTTCGAAACAAGTCTGGATACTCGAAGATGAAAAAATTGGACGTGTTTTTCGCAGATGCTAAAGCTGGAACTCTACCACAATACAGCGTTGTTAACCCGTAAGTTTATATTAAGCTTAATGAAAAAATATTTATAATTGATTAATTTTTTTAAATTTTGGCAACGAAACAGAACTTTTGAAGGATATCCTTGCTTCAATGGTGAACCTAATGATGAACATCCACCTTACAGCGTTGCAAAGGGAGAACAATTTATTAAAACAATTTATGAAGCTTTGCGCGCCTCACCTCAATGGAACAGCTCTTTACTTATAATCACTTGGGACGAACATGGTATTCGCATTCTATCTAGACAAAATGTTTAATTCATGTCTGCAAGATTAAAAAAAAATGCTTTCGATTTAGGCGGATTCTATGACAATGTCCCACCACCATCTAATGTTCCCCCACCAGATAATGTCACTGCACCAATCTTCAATTTCGATCGTCTTGGAATTCGTGTACCAACGCTTTTGATTTCGCCTTGGATTAAAAAAGGATTAGGTAAAAATATCATTGTTGAAGTTTTATTTCAAGCGCCAAAGATTAATTTTATTTATTTTGCATTAAACATATCTGTTCAAGTTGTTCATGATCCTCCGAAAAAAGGTTCTTACTTTGAACATTCTTCAATTCCGGCCACATTGAAAAAGATTTTTGATCTCCCAAATTTCCTAACTAGACGGTAAAATCAAAATCTCAATTTCTAATAATTATAAAATAAAAGAATGCTTATATATGAATTTACTAATTTATTGTTAATTTTAGTGACGCCTGGGCTGGCACATTCGAATATCTTTGGGAGGACGTAGAGTTCCCACGTACAGACACTCCAACTACGCTTCCGGACGTTCCAAAATCCATCAATAAAAAACGCAAGCATCGTAGATCTCAAATTGATCTTCCTGAGCCAGTAGCTTGTCTGCTACTAAAAGCGTATGTCGATCTAATAAACTTGTAATGAAAACATTAAAATATTTTAATTTGAAAAAAAATTGAGTGCATCATCTATCTTTAGTTTAGTATTAAAGTTATTATTGTTACATAAATCTTTTAAATTATTTTTTGCTACAATTCAAAGTTTTTGGTTAGTCATGATATAACGTGATTTCAGATTTGAGGTTTGCAAATATGCTTTGAAACTTCTTTCGTTAAATTATTCATGCGTTTTTTTGCATTGTTAACGTGCGATCTTTTTAAAAATACCTGTATTAATTATCATATGACTGATAATTTTTTCACCTCTTACCAGATGTTCGATGCATTGCTTGGGGAAACAAATGCCAGAAGTATGGCGTGGGTTTGGTGCTTTTAAAGATAGCAATAATATCTTACGATTTAATTATATCAGTGATCATACATTAAACGATAGCGAAATGAGCATTCTGATTAACGCATTTTACTTTATGGTTTGAACGGGAGCCATCCGATAGCCTGACAATCAAAATCCCGACATCCCATAGCCGACAAACAAATCCCGACAATATACTGACAGTTCATCTTCCCAACAGTTCGCAAGCAAACAATCCAACTTCCCGAAATAGTTTAAATAATCATTGATGTGTTTTTTGCAACTCCGATCGATACAAAAAATGTATTGTCGGGATTATGAACTATTAGTATTAATTAATATCTGACGACCTTTCGTCAAGCAATTTTTGATTTGACGAATTGCCGATTGACGAAACCCATAACGATTGATAAATCCTATGACAATCGTTGCTTTTATGTGATTTAGAGCTAAAATAGTCGACTTGTATTTTGATGAAAGCTTTCGCTAAGAAAATGTCAATGAATTTTTTGTAAATTTATACATGTACATTTACATAAACTAGACTTAAATGTTGAAAATGTTAGTAAATGTCGTTAAAATGAAATTTTTGACAAAATTATGCAAATAACGTGGAAAATTTATCGTAATTAAATAATGATTTTTTTTAAAAGTAATGAATTTGTAAAATATATAATAAAATAAAATTTATTGGTATAATTTTTTTATATTAGAGTAATTATTTTGATATTTTAATCTAATTTCATCTATCACAATAAAAATCAACTTTTCCCACATCAATCAGAGGCGTTTATCTGAAGAACGAAAAACTCTATAAACAGTCAGCTTTTGTAGTTAGCGACATCAACATTACTTTTTCTACAGTAGGAAATCCAAGATTAGTCAATCGTCACAAGTTTCGCCAATCGTCACAGGTTTCATCCAATCATCACAGATTTCGCTTGACGAGTAGTTTCGTCACTTCATTTGTCATTATGAAAACAATTTCGTCAGGTAACATTAGCTAGGATGTTGTTATTACCAGGATTTTGATTGTTGAACTATTGTAACGGAACTGTTTTGAAATTATTGCATATGTTTGACTGATGATATTGCCATACTCAATTCAGAAGTTAGTTGGCTGAATTGTAGATGCAACAAGGGTTGTGAAAGATTTCATACAGAGTGGAGTATCGCTAGATCCTAAAGATAATCTTTCACGGAAAGTGTGCAATCAAAGGTAAAGTTCAAAATAAATTATTTAAGTTTGATTAACAAAAGTAATGAACTTACTAACAAAATTAATGACAAAGGTTTACTAACATAATATTATACCAAACAATAAAAATAAGCTATTTCTAAAGAATAAGGCAAATACCAATCGAATAATCAAGTAAAAAGCATCGACTTTTTATAACAAAGGAGGTAAAGCTTCAATTTGTTAGAGCTCAAAATAAATAAAGCTGAAGTGTAATTTAGGAATCTAAAATAATTTTATTTGGTTAGTTTTCTTCAAATCACATTCTTGAACCTTTTAAAGCGATTTTTTTATACAGTTTCGTTAATACATAACTATCAAAAATTACAAATGATAGTATAGTACAAGTTTCACGGATTAATATTAAATTCATAAATAAACATAAAAATAAAATTATATTACTTAACAATATTATTAATATATAAGTTACAAATTTATAATAATATAATGAGAAACTTTATTAAAAGAAAAAAATTAATATAATTATATACACTCTCTTTATAAATTAAATTTAGGTTATTTATAACAAATAGAAAGTCATAACCAAGCCAAATCAAACATGAATAAAATAAAACTCATGTGATAGGCTTTATTATTCATTGTTCTTAATACAGAATCAATTCACATCTTTATGCATTATCTATCTTAGAGATGAAACAATCCATTTTTAAACAAAAGAAAAAAAGATTATTATATTACTGGCATGAAGATGAAAATTCTGTATCAAAATTAAGTAGACTTGCAGATCTAGTATAATAAATATTCTAACAAAATTACTGTAACTATATCAAGAAAGATGAATTAATATATTTATGAAACTTCTATATTTTTATGAAAAATTGTTATTAAATTAAGTATGAAGAGATAAATATTTTATATTATATAGTACACATTTAAAATCATATAGATATAAAAAAATTGATCAAATATTATATTAATAATAATAATAATTCAAAAAATATATATAAAGAGCCAAATATTATTTAAATAATAACTATTTATTTTGCTTTTAAAATATTATAAATGCTAATTTTTATATTAAAATTTTATAGTAATATATTAAAAAAAAATACTAAAAGAAATTAATATTTTTAGCAAGATAATAATTTTAAGTATATAGTAAAGTTAAGAAGTTTTTTCAAAAATATATTCAAAATTATTAATTGATTATTATTAAATTCAGATTAAAATTCTAATAAAAATCTATAAATAATTGTTTAATATGAAGTAAAAAAATAAATATTATAAAACTTAATTAAATTAGAATAATTTATAATAAGAAATAAAATTTATTATCAAATAATATATTAAAAATTTAATAAATTTGATATTATATTATTATTATTAATAAGTATTATAACTATTATAATCTAGTAATATCCTATTTATTATAATATTATAATTTAAAATTTATAATATTATAATTAATTATAATTTAATAATATTATTTATTATAATATTATAATAATTAATAAGTTATTTTTAATTATTATAATTAATTATTAATAATAAAGATAAAAAAATTATATATTAAATTTATAATAATAAATTATTTTATTTTTAAGCTTTTAAATAATATTTAAATCATATATTTTAATATAATTTATATAAAATTATAATAAAATATTTTAAATTAAGTTTTTATTATTATTATATATAAATAATATAAATATTTTAATTATATATTTTAATATAATCTATATAAAACTATAATAAAATATTCTAAATTAAGTTCTTTATTACTATTATAATAATTATTAAAAGTAATAACTCAAAAGCTTAATTTATTAATAAAATATAATGAAATTAAATTTTTTTTCTATATTAAAATTTATAATTTTATGAATTAGTACAAAAATATTTATATTTCAGATAAATATTAATAGATTATTTTTTTAAAATAAAATTTAATTCTATTTTATTTAATTAAGTTATTAAATATTAGAATTTATTTAAATATAAAAATTTTTATTATATATCTTTTATAAAAAAATT